TTTTACCCTTGTTAAAGAAGGAAAAGCCTCCCAACTACCATTATCAAGAGAACCCGTGAGGCGAGAGATAGTCTCGAGGGAATCCGATTCCAGAATTACCTCAAAAAGGCCTAGCAAAGCACCCAATTTGCATCCGCGCAGAAGCGCCAAAGCTTCGACAGCAGCAGCATTGGGAGCCCTGATAGAGTACCACGCTACAGCAATGAAATGCGCCTCAACATCCCTTATCACCGCACCCACGAACCCTGACATCGATAACTTGTACCAGCTGGCATCGACATTAATTTTTGTATAAGGGGAAGGAGGTGGAAGGAAACCAACGGGGAACCATGTTAAGGAATGAATCTTAGATTGCTTAAGTAAATATTGTAAATAGTCAATTAGTTATTCACTTGCTTGTTTTGTATTTGACTGCCTTGTTTATAGGCTTTAGTGTAGGATCCGAATTGATAGGTGACTCTATATATTGTTGTAACCCTAATTCGATCAATAAGAAGAAGAAACACAGACTTTGCATTTCTTCACATGGTACTAGAGTGTTGATCTGGGAAAAACAGCAAAAACACAACACGCCACCCAAGCCAACGCAGCCATGGGTGACAAATCAGAAACACAGTCACATCTAAGGTGGGAAAATCCAAACCACCCTCTCTACCTTCACTATTCAGACCAGCCTGGTGCAGTGCTTGTACCGTAGCCATTGGTGGAAGATAATTATAGTACATGGGTTCAGTCCATGACAATGGCCTTAACGGTCAATAACAAGCTTGGGCTCGTTGATGGCACAGTCAAGAAACCAAGTGATGACAAACATGAAGAGTTGCAACAATGGAATCGTTGCAACAATTTGGTCAAGACATGGCTATTGGGGTCGATGTCAAAGGAAATTTCAGGAAGCGTTATCAATTGTAAGGATGCTCGACAAATGTGGCTTGATTTGCAAGAAAGATTTTCGCATGTTAATATCGTACAACTTTTACATATAGAAAACGAAATTCACAATTGTGTACAAGGCACCATGACCGTGAGTTCTTACTTCACCAAACTGAAGAGTCTTTGAGACGAACGGGACATCTTGTGCTCAATCCCAGCTTGTCATTGTGAAACGAAGAAGGAGATAGCTTCTTATGTGGAGACTCAGAAAACCATGAAATTTCTCATGGGTTTGAATGACTCGTATGCCACTGTTCGTGGCAACACCCTTCTTCTCAAGCCACTGCCCACGGTGAACAAAGCTTACTCTTTGGTTCTTCGTCATGAACGTCAAGTGGAAGTCTCTAATGGGAAAGGTGCTGCCCACCCAGAGGCAGCAGTGTTTGCCGTGAAATCCACAAGCCGGGAAGCCGAGTTCGAGGATCATGGGCCTCGATGTGGAAAATGCCACAAGACGAACCACATCACCAAAAATTGTCGGGCGCATCTAAAGTGCACATTTTGTGGATGGAAAGGTCACACCTTTGATTTTTGTCGTAAACGGAAAGCGGCTGCTGAGGTTGAACAAGGTCGCTCTTCTAAAGGTAACCAAGTCACGACGACTGACAAAAGGGATGTGATGCCAACTTCCCTTTCTCCCAAGAAGATTGCAAGCAGATTCTCCAACTGTTGAACAAGAGCAAGTCATCTTCCTTCGCCAATCAAGTGGGTAATTCCTCAAACCATGAAGAACTTTCAAGTAAAGCCTTCTCTTTCATATGTAATGGACAGAAAACAGTTTGGATTTTGGATAGTGGAGCAACAGACCACATAGTATGTAGCCCTAATTTCCTCACATCCTCAAAACCTGTTAAAAACCATACTGTCGAGTTACCCAACGGAGCCCTTGCTACGGTCACTCATGTCGGACAAGTTGTTTTCTCTCCCAATCTCATCCTTGACAATGTTTTATGTGTACCATTTTTTAAATTAAACTTAATATCCATTAGCAAACTAGCCTATGATTCCTTATACATCACCGTTTTTCTAAATCAATTTTGTGTTATACAGGACCTACGCTCGGGGAAGATGATTGGGACGGGAATTGAACGGAAGGGACTCTATTATCTCGACCCACCAAAGAAAAGAACATGCAACACGTTACAACCCTATCTTCTACATTTTGGCACCAACACCTTGGGCATCCATCACACAAAGTGTCCATGTTGTTTCCCTTTTTGCACAATAAATCTTGTGATTCAAACAAATGTTTTATTTGTCCATTGGCCAAACAAACAAGATCCCCATTTTCATTGAGTTCTATATCTACTAAGTCATGTTTTGAATTAATACATGTTGATATTTGGGGTGGTTATCAAGTTGCGTCCATTTCAGGTGCCAAATATTTTCTCACCATAGTAGATGATCATACTAGGTGCACATGGGTTTATTTGATGAAACATAAATCTGATACCAAACATCTCCTTGTTCAGTTCATTCACATGGTAGAAAATCAATTCAACACTAAGGTCAAAATGATTCGAAGTGACAATGGTCCTGAGTTCAAACTTGACACATTTTATACTCTTAAAGGTATTCTTCACCAAACTAGTTGCGTCAACACACCACAACAAAATGGTGTTGCTGAACGCAAGCATCGACACTTGCTCAATGTTGCTCGAGCCCTACTATTTCAAGCTAATCTTCCTAAACAGTTTTGGGGGGATGCCATCCTCACTTCAGCCTATCTCATCAATCGCACACCCACACCTCTCCTTCATGGGCAAACACCATATCAAAAATTGTTTCACAAGGAACTAACTTACACACACCTACGTGTTTTTGGCTGTTTGTGTTTTGCGTCCACTCATGCACAAAAACCTTCAAAATTTGACCCTCGTGCACGTCGTTGTATCTTTCTTGGTTATCCTTATGGTCAAAAGGGTTATAGGTTGTTTGATATCACACTTCAAAAGGTTTTTCTGTCATGGGATGTAACATTCTTTGAAGACCATTTTCCCTACCACACCTCAGATATTTCCGCTGCCCCTAGTTCCTTGCCCAATCTCACTTCTTCACTATCACACTTTGACATGGATGCGGCACCTCCCTCCTCCTCTTTTGACACGTCTCCTATCTTGCCATCACATGCACGTCCAACCGAATCACCCTTTGCTCCCATGCAACATCCAACTTCCACTGATACCCCACTTTCCATGCACCATTCACCTCCCACCGCTACACCACTTCCCACCGACTCAACTTTAAATCATATGCCATCTTCATCTCACCCTCTCGACAACAACATCACAACCCCACCGTCATCAGCCACATCACCTCCCAACACCACTCCAGACAGCTCCGTGGCTGTTGCACTACCGGCACCACGTCGAGGTACACGCCCCACCAAAATTTCCACCTTTTTGCAGGATTTTCATGTCGAGACTTCTCTCCCGTCAAGACCTGATCCTTCCTCTTCCACGAACGTGGTCAAGTCCTCAGGTACCTCTCACCCTCTCTCTCACTACTTATCTTACCACCGCATCTCTCCAACCCATAAAGTTTTTGTCACTAACGTCACAGCCATCCAAGAACCTACCACCTTTTTGCAGGCTGTCCAAAATCCAAATTGGCATGCTGCCATGAAGCACGAAATTGAGGCTCTTCAGGCCAACAACACTTGGTCCTTCGTTCCTTTGCCACACCACAAACGACCCATTGGTTGTAAATGGGTGTATAAGGTCAAATTGAAACCTGATGGGACTATTGAGCGGTACAAAGCCCGGTTAGTTGCGAAGGGCTATAGTCAAATTAAAGGTGTTGATTACCAAGAAACATTTGCTCCTATTGCCAAGTTGACCACTGTTCGTATCCTCCTTAGTGTGGCTGCTGTCCGTGGGTGGCACTTGCACCAACTCGACGTCAACAATGCTTTTTTACATGGTGACCTCGACGAGGAAGTTTACATGCACTTGCCTCCTGGTTTCGGCCGAAAGGGGGAGACTCGCGTATGTAAGTTACATAAATCCTTATATGGCTTAAAACAAGCTTCGAGGCAATGGTTTCTTAAACTCTCCACTGCTCTCAAGTCTGCCGGATTTCACCAATCATGGTCTGATTACTCACTATTCGTCCGAAGTCGTCAAGGTAACTTCATCGCTTTGCTAGTCTATGTTGACGATGTAATACTGGCAGGAAATAATTTGCAAGAAATTGAAGACACAAAGCGGTTTCTCTCGCAACAATTCAAATTGAAAGACTTGGGCCAACTTAAATATTTCTTGGGGATGGAGGTTGCGCAGTCTAAACATGGCATAACTTTGTGTCAACGGAAGTATGCATTGGATATAATAGATGATGCGGGGTTTTCGGGTGCCAAACCTTCAAGATTTCCCGTAGAACAGAACATTTCTCTCACGGAGACAGAAGGAAAGTTGCTACTTGATGCATCACCATACAGAAGGCTTGTGAGTAGATTAATCTACTTGACCATAACGAGGCCGGACCTAGCCTATGCCGTCCATATGTTGAGTCAATTCATGGAAAAGCCTCGACAACCACATCTTGAAGCAACACACAAGGTTCTCAAGTATATCAAAAGTGCACCGGGACAAGGTATTTTTCTACCTTCCACAGGATCATTACAACTAAAGGCATTTTGTGATGCTGACTGGGCTAGATGCAAAGATACAAGGAGGTCAATAACTGGTTATTGCATTCAGCTTGGTCAAGCACCGATTTCTTGGAAAACAAAGAAACAAACCACTGTATCTCGCTCCAATGCAGAGGCCGAATACCGTTCCATGGCCACTACATGTTGTGAGATTACTTGGTTGAAGAACATTTTAAAAGATTTGAATGTGAGTCATCCACAACCTGTCACATTGTTTTGTGACAATCAAGCAGCCATGTATATTGCTTCGAATCCGGTGTTTCATGAACGGACAAAACATATAGAAATTGATTGTCATTTGGTAAGGGAGAAGATTCAAGGAGGAATGGTTCGTACAGTCTACATACGAACATCTGATCAACCAGATGACATCTTTACCAAGCCATTGAGTTCAACACAGTTTGAAACACTACTCAGCAAGTTGGGTGTCATTAACATACACTCCAACTTGAGGGGGAGTGTTAAGGAATGAATCTTAGATTGATTAAGTAAATATTGTAAATAGTCAATTAGTTATTCACTTGCTTGTTTTGTATTTGACTGCCTTGTTTATAGGCTTTAGTGTAGGATCCGAATTGATAGGTGACTCTATATATTGTTGGAACCCTAATTCGATCAATAAGAAGAAGAAACACAGACTTTGCATTTCTTCACAAACCAGACCTGAAGCCTGGCCGACATTCACCCGCACTCCAATGTCCACATTACTTCTGATTGCAGCCAAGAAAGATCCCGCCATATTAGATATGGCCAAAACAACGTTTGTAGGGTTGATTCTCACATGGTTAAACACAAAATCACACCGAGCTTTCCAAATGAACCAACAAGTAAAAGCTACATTCGTTTGAACCCACAACCAATCGGCAGAAGTAGCAGTAGTAGAGATAAAAATAGCCTGCAACCAACGTATCCATGAGCTAATAGCAGACCTATTAATTTTATAACTCAAAACCCCTCCAAACCAAACAGATTGAACCCACGGGCAGAGAAGTAAAATGTGTTCAGTGGTTTCATCCTCATAAAGACAAATAGGGCAGTTGGGGGAAGTGGAAGACCGTCGCATGAAAAGATTAGCATTAGTTGCAAGGGCATTATGAAGAGAATTCCATAAAAAGTGGCGAATCTTGGGTGGCACCTCAGCAGCAAACACCCATGGAGAAGCTTCCGACAGTAAAGTGCTCTCAAGAACTCTGGTTTGGCCTTCTCATCTCCTTGGCTTTGTGCATTGTTTTTCTTTCCTTTGATTACTCTACTTTCTCCAGTCTCAATCTTTTGCTCAACAAACAAGTCGACCCAATTGGGGTTTCGAACAACCCTGTCACAGATTCATCATGCTTTGGTCGTTACGTTTATATGCACGACGATCTTCCTGAAATATTTAACTCCGACTGGGTAAAAAAACTGTAAATTTCTCACCAAGAGAACTGACAAGCCAAATTTATGCACCTTCTTTGAGAATTATGGTTTCGGTCCCGAAATCGAAAACTCGGAAGGGGTTTTGTCTAACAAGAGTTGGTTTTCCACGAACCAGTTCTTGCTGGAGTTCATATTCCACAACGAGATGAAGCACTACAAGTGTCTGACGAAAGTCTCCAGTCAGGCTTCGGCGGTTTATGTCCCGTTTTATGCCGGTCTTGATGCGACCCTCCATCTGTGGGCTTCTAATATCACGGTTAGAGACGCTTCGGTGAAACAACTTGTTAGTTGGCTGGCAAGAAAACCCGAGTGGGCGAAAATGTGGGGGAGGGACCATTTCTTGGTTGCCGGGAGAATTTCTTGGGACTTCAGGAGGCAGACAGATGATGTTTCGGATTGGGGTAGTAAGCTCAGGTGGTTGCCTGAGTCTATGAACATGACTATGTTGTCAGTCGAAGGAAGCTCTTGGAACAATGACATTGCTATACCTTATCTGACAAATTTTCATCCCGTGGAGGATGATGATTTGTTTCAATGGCAGAGCAGAATGAGGAAACTAGAAAGGGCTTACTTGTTCACTTTTGCTGGGACACCGAGGCCTGACCAGCAGAGTTCAATTCGAGGGAAGATTATTGATCGGTGCGTAGCTTCGAGTAGATGCAAGTTGATAGATTGCAGTTTGGGTGGTAACATAGATTGTGACAACCCGTTGAGTGTTATGAGGGTGTTTCAGAGCTCAGTTTATTGCTTGCAGACTGGAGGGGATTCATACACCAGGAGATCAACTTTTGATTCTATTCTGGCAGGTTGTATTCCGGTTTTCTTTCACCCTGGTGCTGCTTATTCCCAATATTTGTGGCATTTGCCAAAGAATCATAGTAGCTACCCCGTGTATATTCCGGTGAGGGTTGCAGATGATATGCCAAGAAGCATTGACGAAATCTTGCTTGGAATTTCAAAGGAGAACGAATTGGCCATTAGAGAGGAGGTAAGAAGGCTAATACCGAATCTGGTATATGCGGATCCCAGGTCTAGATTAGAGACTGAGGACGCATTCGATTTAGCCATCAAGGGAATTCTTGACAGGATTAAGGATGTAAGGAAGGTGATTAGGGAAGGGAATGATCTGAGTATTGGTTTCACAGATGAGGATAGCTACAAGTACACGTTTCATAAAAAACAAGAATAAACTTGATTGGATTCAATTGTTCTGTCTGTTTGAAAAACAAAATGAGATAGAAGAGGAGGTGCAGGGTATACAATTGCAATTCGCGTGTGGAAAGATTCGAAACTAGATGAAGCAGTGCCAGTTCTTGCTTTCCAGGTCATTACTGCAGCTGCGAAACGATTATCAAAGAAAGATAGAAAGCAAAATGTTATGTTAGAGGTTCCTATTTCATGCTTCTCCTTCAGAACATGTACCTATATAGCACAATTATAAATTAAAGACGTAATGTTTTTTGAACAATTCTTTTAATTATCTTAGTTGTTGATTGATGTGGATTGCACTTGTATACATGTTCTTTGTGCCATGTGCTGTGATTTTAACAGCCAGCTTTTCTCTTTTCTTGTTTCTGTCTGTGAAACGATAAGTTTTATTGAATTATTGACGAATAGAGACGTTTCAATCAGTTTCACTTTGGCATGTTCAACCCCAACCACCGATAACGACGTCGTCCAACCACCAATAATGACCTCTACGACGGAAAACATGCTACACAAGTGCAGGTGGGCGGAGCAGATAAAAACACCACAGTGGTGTCTCATATTTCAGGAATGGCATCCTGGCAAATTAATGGGCCATTAATCTTGCTTGATCCTCCTCCTAACATGTAATTAATAAACTCTAATACGAGTTAAGAATTTGCCTTGCATAGCGCTTCTACTTGTATATATGAGTAGATGATTAAGGAGGTGGATCTATTAGGAAGCAAAAGCTGATTCCTAATAGAAATTGGAAAAAATGGAAAGAAAAGGGAAACTGATAGACTCATTCCAACGAGGCATACCAAATGCAAATGCAAAGAGGAAGAGAAGCGCAATATGGATTGCCCGTTTGAGATTGCTTTCCCTAAAAAGCACTTATGCTAAACGCGTCAAAATTTTTATTAAGCAGGAAGGTGCTTCATTAAAAAACACTCGGAAGTATAAGAAAGAACACTTTGTATTACTCTACTTAATGAGGAAGAAATTACATCTCAGTATATTTACACTTTACAGATAAAGCTTAGTAACTAATCACATCTAATTAACTAACTAAACTGGGATTAGTTACAATGTTTACAACCATATGACAGCTATACAAACTAACTGAACTAATTAGATGTCCCTTTACACCCCCTCAAGCTAAACAGAGGATCACCAAGAGAACGCTTGGATCAGAGATATTTGAACCGAGCTTTGGACGAGGATTTTGTAGGAATGTCTGCAATCTAGTGATGTGTACTCGCATATAAAACTTGGAGTAAAATGTCTATGATAAGCTTATGAATATAGTGATAGCCTATTTCCACATGTTTCGTGGGAGCTTTAAACACATGATTAGATGCTAAGAGAATTGTAGAAACATTTTCACACTAAAGCTAGGGAACTTGAGTAAGGGGAAAGGCAATGTCTCTGAAGATTTTACAAATCCGTGTCAGTTCAGTAGTAGTGAGGGCTAAAGATCTATATTCAACTTTATTTGATGAATGAGCAATAGTATGTTGCATCTTTGCACTCCAACTAATGATATTATTGCCTAAGTAAACACAGTACCCACTTGTAGACTTCTTGTCAAAGACACATCCAACCCAATCTGCATCAGAGAAGGCATTTAAATTCAAGGAAATTTTTCTAAACCACAAGCCTTGATTTACATAGCCCTTTAAAAATCTCATATTTCTTTTCACTGCTTGAAAATGTGTCTCGTAGACAGTGAAGAAATTGACACACTTGGTTGACTGCAAAGAAAGATTTGGTCTAATCCAAGTCAAATACTAAAGAGCTCCAACAATTGATCTATATTCCTATGGATCAAAAAATAAAGTGCCAGTGCGATCCAATTTTTTAGTACCAAGAGGAGTAGAACAAGGTTTACAACCTTCCATATGAGTTTTAACAAGGAGATCCAAATCATACTTGCCTTGAGAAAGAAAAAAAATACCTTCCTTTGATTTGTGAACTTCCAAACCAAGAAAGCCACAAATAATGAGCAGTCAGATTGAGAATTTGAGAAGCCAAAGACTAAGCAATGTAGTGAACAACTTGTCATACCATGCACAAGTGGCTTGCTTTAAGCAATATAGGGATTTATTTAATTTGCACATAAAAGAGGGCTGAGAAGAGTCAATAGAACCTGCAAGTTGCTGCATATAGACACCTTTTTTCAAAGTTCCATGGAGAATGCATTCTGATATCAAGTTGATTGAGGAACCAGTAATATTGAACTGTAGGTGTGAGCCAAATTTTAATAGTTAAAGGTTTTGCAACAGGACTGAATGTCTCTTTAAAACCAATACCTTTATACTGATGGAAGCCCTTAGCTATAAGCTTTGTATCTATAAGTTGAACCATTTGCCTTTCTTTTGATTCTAAAGACCCATTTACAGTTAACTAAGTTTTGATATAAAGATGGAGAACAAGAGTCCAGGTACTAGTGGTTTTGAGTAGACCTGGCATTTTCAACCCGATCTGTTAACTCGACCCGTTAAAATTAGTATTCGGGTGAGTGATAAACTGGTCGGGTGGTTAATGAGTCAACCCGTTAAAATTAGTGCAAATGATGCTTTCTTTGTGTGATTGGATTGGGAATTTTGGGTTTCTAGGGTTTTTTTTAGCTGCTCTCTCAAATCTCAATTTCCTTACTTTATTTCTTGATGATCATTAAATTACGTGACTTAATTGGCATATGTTGTGTTTTTTTCTCGTTAATTAGATTGTTTATACTATTTGGTTAACTGGGTTTCAATGATATAAGCCACATGTGCATGTATTGTGGGAGACTATGGAGGCTTATCTTCTACATTCTCTGAAAATGTATGTGTTGTCACTTGCATTCTCGTTAATTGGATTGTTTATGCTATTTAGTTTTTATTGGCAAAAATCGTGCTATTTAGTTTGGACTGTAACTAGATAAGCCAAAGGAGTAGAACTTGAGTCGCAGAAACTGATTGAAAAAATGCATTCTACATCAATTGATAGCATGCCATTTCCTTAAAGACATTAATGTTTTCATCATCAAGATTCTTGTATTCTTCTTTTCGTTTTTTGGATGGTTTATTGACATGTATTAGGATCTCTCTTTGAGTATAGTAGTGTTTTCGTTTCTGCTCTCAAATTGCATCTCAGGTTGCTTTTCAGAAAACTAGTAGCCTTGGTGGTATTTTGGTCTTCAACATTTTGCTTTTAAGATAAGGATCTGCAATTGGATATCTCCATAATTACAACTGATTTTAGGCTATCGGATTTTCACACAACAGTTTCATCGTAATGGGGGATTATTAAGTTCAATCTTGAATGTTAAGTTTAATGTCTTATCAATCTTTTCCACATGATTTCACTCAAAGTTTAATGTCTACCATACATTTTGCAAAATGGCTTTTCAGTTTTCACCATTATCTTTTTTTTTTTTCCCCACTTTTTACTCCTTACTTTTCATCTAAATTTTATGATTGCAGAAACCTAGGCATTCACTGAATTTACTGCAGCACCATATTTAACCCATTTTGGTTAATCATAATTTCATAACCGCATAATGCTCGCACATGCTAAGCTTCTTACTGCCATGAACAGTAGAACGGCTATTCCATTTATCAATTTCTCAATATTGCTTAGCTACTACTTTCCTGTCCATTTACACAGTTTATTCATTTATGGTTAGTGCAAATGGATATTGATGAAGAGGACACCAAGTCCGTCAAAGAGAAAGGCTAAAGGTATACAAGTAGGTAAGATACGTCACAAGAGATCACGTGTTTGGACTTTGTTTGAAGAATTGCCTATTGGTCCTGATAATATACAACATGCGAAGTGTAAAAACTGTGGAATGGTTTACGTATGTGATAGTAATTGCGGGACGAAAAACCTATTAAATCATATGGATTCATGTAGTAAAAAACATCACATTGATATGAAGAAATCTTAAGTTGGATTGCGTTCTCCTCAGTTTTACCATATTAGTTTTTGTGAGCTATTGATTGAGGCTATAGTTAAGCATGATTTGCCTTTTAGGTTTGTTGAATATGACGGCATTAGAACTTTGTTTAAATACATATCTCTTGATATCAAACTGCATTGTAGAAATACCGTTAAGAAACATGTGTTGATGATGTTTGAAGATGAAAAGATAAGGCTTCGAGATTGGTTAAATACAATTGAGGGAAGAATATGTTTGACATTTGACCTATGGTCTTCTACTGCAACTGATCGATATCTCATGCTTACAGCTCACTTTGTTGACAAAGAATGGAACATGCACAAAAAAATTTTAAATTTTTGTCATATGTCTCCTCCACATACCAGGGTTGATTTGTCTGAAAAAATTAACGCTTTATTAGTTGAGTGGGGGATTGAAAAGAAACTGTTTTCCATTATAATGCCTCTGCAAATGATTGTTCTGTTGAGCTATGAAGAAACAATTAAATTTTAGAGGTTTGCTATTAATGGATGGAAAGTTCTTCCATGTTCGTTGTTGTGCTCACATCCTAAACTTGATAGTCCATGCTGGACTAAAGGAAATTTATGGATCAGTGACGAAAGTTCGTGAGTGCATCAAATATATAAAGTATTCAAAAGGGAGAAAAAATAAGTTTTTTTGCTTGCGTTGCACAAGTAGGGTTGGCAGGTAGTAAAAGAGGGTTGAGATAAGATGTTCCTACTAGATGGAATTCAACATATACAATGTTTGATAGTGCTATTTTCTATCGTCGTGGTTTTCTCAATTTGGCACTTGTTGATTCTAAGTTTAGTTCATGTCCTTCCTTGGAAGAGTAGGATAAAATAGAGAAGATTTCCAATTTCTTGGGGTATTTTCATGAAGTTACTTGCTTATTTTCCAAAACAAATTACCCTACATCAAACTTGTTCTTCCCAAAAGTGTTCAAAGTCCATTATTGTATTCAAGATGCTATGGAAGATTGTGATGATTTCATGAGACAGATGGGGAGTTATATGAATTTGAAGTTTGAAAAGTATTGGTCAGAGTATAGTTTGACCCTTGCCATTTGCGGTAATTCTTGATCCTCAGTATAAATTGCAATTTGTAGAGTGGGGTTATGACAAGCTTTATGGTAAGGAGTCAAGAGAGTTGAAGGATGTTAGTGGCACATTGTTTGCACTCTTTGGTCGTTACATGGACAAGTTCTCTCATCTTCTTGTATCCAACCTAGTTAATCAAACTCTTAGTCAAATAAAAGTTGGAGACAAACTTTTTGAGGTAGTGTTTATATTTGTTATTCCTCTTTTTATACTTTTTATACACATCTTT